CACTTATAATTCTGATATAGAAGTTAAAAGACATAAGTGTAACAAGTAACAATAACTATAAAAAATATATTAATAAATATAGAATACGAAAAGATGCAATTTGTGACACGAGTATCAGGGATGAGCAAGATTAGGATTTTTGTATACATTTGCAACTGAATTATCAGTTTCAAACTGATTATTATAACTTTGTTTTTTGTTTTTGTTTTTGTTTTTTGGTACTGGGGATCAAGCTCAGGACCTTGCGCTTGCAAGGCAGGTGACAGAACCACTGAATTAAATCCCCTGTCCTATAACTAGGTTTTATATAAGCTTCATAGCAATCCCACAGAAAATATGTATAAGAGATACACACACACACACACACACACACACAAAGAGAAAAGACAAACTTTATGTCGCTACCAAAAAATAATCTATGAAACTCAAAGGAAGATGACAGGAAAGGTAAAAGGGAACAAAGAGGTATAAGACAGAAAACAATTAAAAAATGACAATAGTCCTTCCTTTTCAGTAATTACTTTAAACTTACAGGAAGGTCTGGGGTGTGACTTAGAAGTAAAATGTATGGTCAGCATGCACAAGGCCCTGGGTTCGATCCCAGGCAGCAAGCACATGCACAAGTGCACACACACACACTAACACACACACAATGTGGAGAAAAATAGATAGCAACACAATAATAGTAGAAGATTTCAATATCTCATTTTAAATAAAGGCTAATCATCCTGACAGGTCAGGAACAATATCACAAACAAAATAGGCCTAACAAACATACATAGAAAATTCCATGCAACATTAGTAGAATACACATTCTTCTCAAATAAGGGCTGGGGATTTAGCTCAGTGGTTCCGGCACCTGCCTCGCAAGCGCAAGCACCCGAGTTTGATCCCTGGTACCAAAAAAAAAATAAATAAATCAAATAAACACAGAATATTCTACAGGATAATTCACTTGTTACATCATAAAACAAGTCTTAACATATTTAATAAGATTGAAATTATACCAAGTGTCTTTTCTGACCACAATGGGATGAAAGTACAAATCAATGGAAGAAAAACTAGAAAAATTTAAAATATGGGGAAAGTATACACTCTTGAGCATTCAGTGGGTCAAAGAAGAAATCAAAAGAGAAGTGTAGAAAATGTCTTAAGAGAAATGAAAGTGAAACACAATATAAAAAAACTTACAGATGTGGGCCAGGGATTTAGCTCAGTGGTTCCGCCGCCTGCCTTGCAAGCACAAGGACCAGAGTTCAATCCCCAGTACCAAAAGAAAAAAAAAAAACCTTACAGATGTGACAAAAACAGTAACAACAAGGAAGCTTATAGCAGTGAACACCTATAGTTAAAAAGAAGATCATAAACAACCCAAGTTAACATCTTAAGGAACTAGCAGAAGAAAAACAAAGGAACCAAGCCCAAAATTAGTTGAAGGGAGGAAAACTAAAGATTAGAAATGAACAAAATGGGATATAGAAAAATAATTTTATGAATCAACAAAACTAAGAGTTGTTTTCTGAATAGACCTAAACCCACAAATCACCTAACCTTCACAAGAGTGCTGAAATAATGTACTGAGGAAAAGACAGCCTCTTCAACAAGTGGTGTTGGAAAAATCGGATATCCACATAAAAAATCATGAAATTGGGCCCTTTTCTTACACCATACACAAAATTAACACAAGATGGACTGAAGATTTAAGCATATGATTAACACTCTTTAGAAGAAAACACAAGGGGAAAGGTTTGTAGTGTTCGTGTTGGCAATGATTTCATGGACCTAACACCAAAAGCACAGGCAACAAAATAAAAATAGGTATCAAACTAAAATGCATATGCATGGCAGGGAAATACTCACCAGAATGAATGGCAGCCGGAAGAATGAGAGAAAATATCTCTCTCATATCTCTGATGAGATGTTAATATCCAAAATATAAGGGATCCCCTACAACTGAATGACAAACACACACACACACACACACACACACACATTTTTTAAAAGGGCGAAAAACTTGAACAGACTTTTCTCCAAAGAAAATATACAAATAGCCAACAAGTATACAGAAAGATGCTCAAGGTCACCAATCATCAGGTAAATGGAAATGAAAAACACAATGATGTGTCTCCTCGTGCCTGTTAGATGGCCATTATTTTAAAAATAAACTCACAAAACCAGAAAATGACACGTGTTGGTGAGGATGTGGAGACATTAGAGCCCTGCAGCCGGTAGGTGTGTCAAATGGTGCAGCAGCTGTGGAAAACAATGTGGCAGTTCCTCAAAAAATTAAATATAGAACCACCATAAGATCCAGCAATCCCATTTCCAGATATTTACCCACAAGAACTAAGCAAAGGGTCTTGAAGGAATAGTCACAGTCTCTTACAACTCACATGGCTCACAACAGCCATGGAATGGATACAACCTCAATGTCCCCTGATGGACCAATGGAGACAGAAAAGGTGGCATATGTAGATGACAGCACATTAGCCTTAAAGAAAGAAATCTGTCATATGCTGCAACACTGAATGAACCCAAAGAAGATTATGCTGGATGAAATAAATCAATCACAGAAAGTCAAATTCTGCGTGATTCCACTTACACGAGGCATCAAAAGGAGTCCAACTCACAGAAACAGAAAGTAGAATGCTAGCTGCTGGGGGCTGCTCCACAGGTCCAGAGCCTCAGTCATGCAAGGTGACAAATCCTAAAGATGTCCTTATAACAGCAAGCATAGAGTGAACAACATCACACTCTGCATTCCAATGTCCAGAGGGTGGAGTTCGTGCTATGTGTTTTTACAATAAAAATAAATGAACAAAAGATATTGACGGGCATTTCACCAAGGATATTAAAGTGGCCAATAAATAAAGAGAAAAGCAAGCTACCATGCTGGCCATCAGGCAAATTCAAATAACAAGGAGAGGCCAGGGATTTGGCTCAGTAGTTCCGGTGCCTGCCTTGCAAGCGCAAGGTCCCGAGTTCAATCCCTGGTACCAAAAAAACAAATAACAAGGAGATCTCGTAGCTCATCTACCAGATTTGAGGTGGGAAATCAATAAAAAACAAAAACCTGACAATAACAGCATTGATAAGAATGTGGAAAAATGGGAGCTCTCATGCTCTGAGAGTAGCAGTTGGTGTAATCACTTTCTAAATCAGTTTGACATCATATAATATAATTAAACACACTCATGACCCTATCTTTGGTAACTAGGGTAGTAGGTCTCTAGATCTAATAGGTCTGAGAGAACAGGTCTCTAACTCTCTCCTGAAGGCTACATTATCTCTAGCTTTTCAAGGCTATTCAAACAGGTCTGGACTCTGTAAGAAAGCAAGAGATCCATAGCAAATCACCTCCTATAAGTTGAGTAGGAGGACCTATTAAATATTGGAAAAGCCAGGAGATGTATAAAAGTGGCCAACCTATGTTGCGAATTTACCACGTCCTGGGCCATGTTATATGGGGAAGGTGGATATTGCTCACCTTTCTAAACCCCCTTTGAGTTTGGGCCTAATTAGGGAATAAAACACAAGAATCAGAACACTACAGAGAGAAAAAGCTACTTGAGAAATTTTTACCTAATAGGACTTTTTTTAGGTTCTGCAACTGAACTAACTCCCTCAGTCTTAGATGGGATAGGGAAGCCCCCCACCTCCTCCACAGGCTGCCCACTCAGGCAGGGCAGGGGAGGGTGGGCAGAGCCTTCAGAAATTCAGCATGAAGGGCTGAAACCAGAATGCCTACTGAGGTCCTCTTCCCAATCCCCACCATCAGACGTCACTGCCCTCCATGGGGAGGAAGGTGTAAGAGGACAGCAGAGAATGGATGTTCTCTCTCCTCTGTGAAAACAGAAAGCCTGGATGAGCATCCTCCATCACCACAGACATCAATCTGATATCCTAGGCTGAAACCACAGCACAGGGAGGGAGATGGGAAACGGAAATGGAGACAGGAGGCAAACGGTTTGTCACAGAGCGAGGAGGCCAGGGCAGTCTGGACTCACTTGGACCAGAGCCTGTGTTTTTGATGATTGACTAATTGCACTGCCTCTGGAGAAGATGGGGCGCAGCATTCCAGGGATGAGGGTGAGAGAAAGACAGAGAGAGAGCAGCATGAAGCAAAGGGAGAGCCAGGGGAGATGAGGTTACTTCCGGAGAGGAGAATAAGACAAGGCTAGAGACGACTCCAGAGAAGATCGGAGCCCCAATAGGAGACTGAGAAAGCGCAACAGAAAAGTGAGAAAATACCTGAAGGAAGAGGGAGAGGCCAGCTGTGTGCTAGACTGCACTAGGAAAGTCACCCCGGCAAGTGTGGCTGCGGGCGCTGGGGACCAGGGGACCTTTGCAGACACGAAGTAGACTTTTTTTTTTTTTTTTTGGTACCAGGGATCGAATTCGGGTCCTCGCGCTTGCAAGGCAGGCAGCGGAACCACTGAGGTAAATCCCCGTCCTGAAGTAGACTTTCTTCCAAAAGTTGGCTTTGGATGGATGAAGAGAGAAGGAGGTAGAACGACAGGGAGTGGGGCAGACAATGGGTCATTGGTTAGCACTTTGGTAACATTTGCTAATGATAATAATAATAATAATAATAATAATAATAATAATGTACTGTTTCGATTCTTTTCACCCAGAGCAAATTTAAAATTGGACTATTAGATTTTAGGCAGAATATCTAGAGCAGAATATGTCACTTAGTAGATTGTGGATAAGCAACAGGTAAAAAACAGTAATTAACTTAGTTTTTTATATCTATAAAATGTAATTACGGGACACAACCCACGTGTTCTCCAATAAGAGGATCCTGCCCTGCAGGAACTGACCCAAACGAGCCCGCGCTGTGTGGACTGCGCTCTGCGGTTGCGGCGCGCGGCGGAGGTGGACTCTGCTCTCCCAGCGGCCTCGGCTTCCCCCGCGTGGCCGGGGGACGCTAAGGGCACCCGGGGCTGGGGCCTCAGCGGCGGGTGAGGTCGGGTGCAGGGTGCTCGCTCGGCCGCTGGGGGGCGCTGCTGTCCCCGCCGGTCCCCGCCGGTCCCCGCATCCGGAGGCTGCAAAATGTCCCCGCGCCTCCTGGGCTGGCTGCTGTGCTTCGGCGCGCTGCTGTCGCCGGCCGCGGGCTACGTGCTTGTGAGCTCGGTGTCCTGGGCCGTCACAAACGAGGTGGACGAGGAGCTGGACAGCGCTTCCACAGAGGAGGCGCTGCCCGCATTGCTGGAGGACCCGGGCGGTCTCTGGCAGCGCAGCTTCCCCGCCGCGGCGCACGAGGACGGTGCCCCCCGCGCCCCGCCGCGCCCCGCGCCCCCCGGGATGTTCTCCTACCGCCGCGAGCGCCGCCCAGCGCCCCCCGCCACGCCCGCGCCCCCCGGGCCCCAGCCGCGCGCCCGCCTCGCCCGCTCGCTGGCCCACGCGAGTTCCTGGGCCTGCGTGGCCGCCGTGGCAGCGCGCGACAAGGTAAGAGCCTGCGGGCCGCGTACACGACCCACGGGTACCCGGGAACAGAGTCATCCGCGCCGGTGACTGGCCTGCGCTCAGGGCCAGCACCCACGGACGTGAGTGGACCGGCCACGCCTTGAAGATCACCGAAGCAGCCTGCGCGGGGGTGGGTCACACTGGCAAAGGGCGTGTTGGGGGCCAGGGGAGGGGACCTTGACAACCAGGCTTCCTGGAAGGGACTGCATCCCTGTCTTGAGGTGGCCAAAGAGATGTCCGATTAACCAGCGTCTGACCAGAGGCTGGACAAAGGGCCAGCGCAGCTTTGGGAATGGCAGAGTAGGCGCATGAGACCCTGGCAGCTCAGATGTCCCCCTGCCCTACTGACACCAGCCAGGTGTGCCAAGAAGAGATGCGCTTTGGTGGAAATCTGCATTTCAAAAATGGAACTCAACGGGGCTTTCCTGGTGCACGCCTGTAATCCCAGCAGTCTGGGAGGCTGAGGCAGGAAAATTGCAAGTTCCAGCCAAGTCTGGGCAACTTATCGAGACCCTATCTCGAAATTGAAAATTCAAGAAAGAGCAGGAAATGTAGCTGAGTGTGAAGGCCAGGAGTTCAGTCCCCATTACAAGGAGGGTGGGGGGTTGGGGGTGGAAATCGATTTTTCTGGACCAGAAAGGAGACTTATTGTGCAGAGTGCTAGTACAGGCTGGAGTGACCTGTGTGTTGCTGAGCACACGGAGCTTCTATCCTGTATACATAGACATAATTCCTTCCTCTGGGATGATGTTGTAAGGTTGAGCGGTTTATGACGTCATGAGAACAGAATCTGTGAGTGATGTGGTGGTACCATTTTGAAGGACTCCTGAGTATTTTATGTTCTTAAAAATTTAAAGTCCTTCTGTTTACAATTTTATACATGGTTGCCATGAAAGACTGCAAAGACACATATTAAATCAGGCCACCAGGAAAATAATGAAACAAACTCTAATGTATTTACTCACTTATACTTGGAATACAGTTAATTTCAACATAGATCATTTGTAGTTTCACACTACTACTGGATCAATTCTATTGTATGATCACAGAACTTTAAAAAGGAAGAGGAAAGTCTCATGACTTCCTAACAGGATAGTTTTAACCAAGCACCAACCTTACTCGAAAGAATTATGATATGCAGAATGCTTGCCTAGCATGTGGGAAGCGCTGGGTTAAATTCCCACACATGCACACGCGTGAACACACACAAATCCCTTGTTTTCACCAAAAAAAATTTCAAAGATATGTCAGAATACTGTAGATAATTTTAATGACATTCAGCATTTTAGTATTAGGCCAAGTAAATATATAATAGATATTTTTTAATGTTTTTATTAGCTAAATCACATTCTATTAATAGTAAATATTTGGTTTATACAGATCTAAGTTTAAGAGCAGGAGGCTACGACCATAAATTACTTGGCTGGGTGTGGTGGTGCCCATCTGTAATCCCAGCACTTGGGATGCTCAGGCAGGTGGACCACTGCAAGTTTGAGGCCAGCCTGGCTAAACAGTGAGTTCAAGTTCCAAGGTTGTACTTATTTTTATAAGAAAAAAGCCTTCTTCAACTAAGTGGTAAGCCATGTGTGTATCAAGTTGACATATATAGTGGAATTATTTCCCTGGAGTATTTTTGTAACTTTTCAGATGAGCTAGAAAGCACCTTGGTACATTGGAGTCCAAGTTATGTTGGTTATAGTCCCAGCTCTAAAGCCTTATTATACTCATGTCTTAAGTATTGTTGATTATTCTGTTAATTGTTGGTTTCACTGCCCACTTTGCATTTTAGCCTTTGCAAAATGTATTGCTAGGTACATTATTATTTCTTATTGACTATTGAATTTATAATTCTACAAATTTACTCTGTCATTATAATCAAACGATGTCAAACAGGACTCTGAATTCCTCACTTCACAATTAAAAATACAATACGGATCCAGCAACATTGTATATAATAGTGGGCACACATTTTTTTTACCTGTTAACCAGCAACTTACTGTTTCTTAAAATTGGTGTATTTCTCAACCATTTTTCTGAGGTGAATGACTTGTTAGAGAATATCAGCCAAAAAAAAAAAATTGTAACAAATAACAAAAAGTCCAAGAAGCCATCAAAAGATGGATTTTTAGGGTTTTTTTTAAATTTTGGAATCACATTTTCACTTTAATTTGATTATTGTCAACTTGTTATGGTATTGTGTTTATATGTATGCATATAATATATATATATATATGTATATGAAGAATAAAGTTAAGATTTGGTCAAACTATAAAAAAGAAAAAAAGACTGCAAAGACAGGCCCTGAATTCTAAGCTAAGTAAGGACAAACTATCTCATTGTTGTTTTTGTTTGTTTGAAGTACTGAGGATTGGATTTAGGGTCTCTGCACTGAGCTACATCCTCGGCCCTTTTTAAAATTTCCTTTTAGAGAGTATTGCTAAGTTGCCAAGCTGCCCGTGCTGGTTCAAACTTGTGATTCTCCTGCCTCAGCCTCCCAATGAGGTTGCTTTATAAGGGATAAAGGTCACAGACGTTTGATATGCTGCATTAGTAGGATTTGGAAAAATCAGAGACTTCAGTGTTCCGTCTCTGTCTGAAGTCACAGAAATACAATATATTCCCTTCACCCACCCTACTGGATGATCATGAACAAGAATTGGTATGTCGTGTGTTTATGACTTCCTTTATGCTAAAGGCTAACAAATCAGTTTCTTATAACTTACTGAGTTCTATAATGAAATGTTATTTGTTACAATAAAAATACAACTAATAAAAAAGTAGTGTAGGCTTAAAAGAAACAATAATAGAATGTCCCTGGCATCAAAGACTAAGTGAGACATTAAAAGGAAGAACTAAATTTTATCCTCGAAGTTGCCAAAAATTTGGGGGAGGCAGTGCAGGTAGAGAATATTTAAGGGGCAGCTTATAGGAAAAGCTTAGCACGACCACTACCCCATCAATGTCACTGCCCTTCCCTCAAATGACATTAAATTCCATACAGCAAACCCTTTTGCTATTCTGAGACAGCTTGGAGAATAATCAGGTAACTCCCAAACAGTAACTCCGCTGCTGCGCATCCCCTCAGAAAAACCCTAGAGCTGCCGCTGGGTGCACTGGATGGATCGGGACCATCTTGCCATATCTGAGTCCCTGCCATAACCCCATGATGCTAAGGTCCCCCACGAGGTCCCCAGTGTCATTTTTCCTGGCCAGAGACATAGCTCCCAGCTCGCATCAGTCCACAGCTCTGCAGTTGAGAAGGCCTTTGGTGTTTGTTAGATCCAGGGACTGCCGTTTGGGAGCTGCCTGCTCATCAGTGATGGTCCCTTCAACAACAGCACTGGGACACCTTTCTTCTACGTGACCGCCAAGGACCCCGTGGTGGCTGACCTGATGAAGAACCCCATGGCCTCACTGATGCTGCCAGAGTCGGAAGGGGAGTTCTGCAGGTAGACAAGCGTTTTCGGCAGAATTGGAGGGTGGGCCACTCGTGGTCAACAGAACCTTGCGATGCAAATTGATCTTCACCCTTGGAATCAGATACTTTACCACCACTGACCACCCAGGGTGATTTGAAGCAAATTATTTAATCTTTGTGACCCTCAGTTTTCTCCTCTTTAAAATGGGAATACAAATGAACCTTGACTTACACTCGGATTGGATCCCTATAAAGCTCCAATGTAAGTTGCAAATACTGCAACTGGAAAATGTCTCCAACAGTCTTACCTACCTTAAATGTTCTCAGGACACTCACATTAGCTTACAGTTGGGCAAAACCATCCAACACAAAGCCTATTTTATAATACAGAGTTAAACAGCTTATGCAAATTATTGCATTCTGTACTTGAAGGGAAAAACGGAATGGTTGTTTTGAGTCATAAATCTATGAAAAGATTAGAATTTAAAATATGAAGTAGTTTTTACTGAATGTACAAACCGTCATAGAGTCTAAAAATCCTCAATTGAACCACCATAATTTGGGAATGTTCATAATAATTTCTACCTCAGAGAGTTATTCAAAGTGTTGGATGTAGGTGCATAGTGCCTTGTATAAGAAAGAAATGGCTAAATGCCAGTGGCATTGTGGAAAAGGGCAGAGTGGATTGGGAGTTAGGGAAGGAAGGGCCAGTATATTTATTGTGCCTACAATTCATTTGCACACTCCCTATGTATGCAATACAGAGTCAATGTCTTTATTTTTTATCCCTCAGCCAGTACTGGGGACTAAACTCAAGGCATCGTACCCATTAGCCAAGTGCTCCACAACTGAACTAAATCTCAGCCCTTTTTTATTGTTTGTTTGTTTGTTTGTTTGTTTTTGGTACCGGGGATCAAACTTGGGTCCTTGTCCTTGTACTTGTGCAACAGGTGGCAAAACCACTGAGCTAAATCCCTGGCCCTCTCAGCCCTTTTTAAAAATTTTCTTTCTTTGATGCAGGGTCTCACTAAGTTGCCCAGGCTGGACTTGAACTTGCAATCCTCCTTCCTCAGTCTCCCAGATAGCTGGGATAACAGGTCTGAACCACAGCACCTAGCTAAGAGCTCCATTCCTTTAATATATTTTCTCAAAAAAATAACTCTCTCCCAGACAGCATCATCCAAATTCAAAGCACAAAGCCTGAATAAATCCCACCAAATGTGGTTCTTGTGGGAGCCTAATGTAAGAGATCCCCCACACCTTGAGGATTAGCAAATGCACCTAGTGGTCTGGGGGGAGACCTTTAACCTCCAAGACCTCAGTCCTGTAGTGATGACTTAGAAAATTAATAGGTTTTATCCCTCCTTGGAAATTCTGTTATTCTTTATGCACAGCATGAAAAGCATAATAACCAAACATCTTATTAGTTCTTACAGAAGCTAAGCAAAGCAACTATACCATGTAAAACACACCCTGGGTAAGTCCCTGCCACCTGCATGCCTGCTCCTCCTGCCCTTGTGTTTACACTCAGCAGTGAGACTCAAGTGGTGACTCCTGCTGACCCATTTCCCCGCTGGGTCACGGCGAGAAGCTGGGACAGGAAATGTTTCCTTTTGCGTGGAATATTCTCCCCAGTCTTGGTCAGCCAAGCTTGCTGGTACTAGAAGTACATTCCCACGATACCTTTCTAAACCTATAGGTTTCCCTAATTCAGGTGTCCTGAGACCTGACACATTAGAGCATGTAGGTCCCAGAGCCCAGAGAGCACCTACTCTGGGAGACAGGACAGAAGACGACCAATGAGCAGCACTGCCGTGCATGTGTGGACTTCGCAGGCCCCAGCAGCTGTCATCCAGAGCAGTGAAAAATCCAGCTGAGGACAGGTCCAGAGGGACAGGTCCTGGGGTGACTTCCTTCAGGCCCCTGCAAAACAGGAAACGCCTGCCCATGCAGCCCAGGCCCAAGCGTGCAACCTCCTTCCTGGCCGGCCCCAGAGAAAGTGCAAACACCAATGCAACACACTGGGCAAAGGGTGCAGCAGCTCATGGCCCAAGGTGGCCACCCAGGACCGAGGACACCTCTGTCACTCTGGCCTGGGAGAGGAGGGCTGAGCCACACTCACTGGGACCTCTGTGTTCAGGATCCCCTTGTGAAAACTGCGCTTCTCAGAACTGCTAACCCCTTGTACTACTTAAGCTTCTGAAGTATGGAAATAGGATGTAAATCTCTACAAAGTTCAAAGCAATGGGGCTTTAGCTATCACCCTAGGGCAGCTTCCTATGAATGGTTTCAGCCCAGATGTGAGGTTCACATTGAGAGTTCGGCATTGCATTTTAGGTTTCATGGAAAACCTGGAAACTTAGTGATGTTGAGCACAGGGACTTAACAAGTCAAACGATGCTGCCAGCACTAAAAGACAGACACCAGAGCCCCAAACAAACAAGCTGAGCCTGGAGCTCTTGGGGCCACGGGAACATAGTGAGGCATCTGGTAGAAACATCTGGGGAGAAGATTCCCAAACAAGCCCTGGGTAGAGTTTCAAGGGATAGTCTAGCAGGGTACCATCAAGCTGACCCTCCTGCATGATCCGAGGACCAAAAGAGATAGGGGAGAGCAGGTTCATTGTCAAGGGCTCATCACCTTTCCTACGGAGTGGGAGGAAATTCAGAAAGGCCCATTGCTTATGATGAGTCAAGGGCCCCGACTGGTCCTTTCACCTTTGGAAAGCAGCTCATATCAGAAAGAAGGAAATTGCCTCTGGCCCTGCGGAGTGCAGACACACAGTGGCTCATCTACTTCCACTGTGCACTCCTGTTCCTCTGTGGGCATGTGCAATGGGGAGAGTGTAGACTCCTTGTGTCATCAAGGAGAAGACAAAGCTAGAACTGGGCCTTTCAGAGTTACCGGGTAATGCCTGACCACCAGTTATCGGGAGATGCCCAATCACCTGATTAAGGGAGGGTATAGCAGAGGATGAATGAATAATAAAACAAAGAACAAAGAATAAAGAACAAACAATAGTTTATTACTTGGAAGGCTGGGAATTGATCTTAGCTCTCTCCTGGCTAAGACCACTTGATCTTAGCTCTTCCTGCCTAAGACCACAGACTCTGGATTAGTCAGTATTTATGATTATACAACATAGCAAGGAGGTAAAGGCAGATGCAGGGAATAGCAGGACTTGAGGCACTAATGAGCCAGGCTGTAAAAGGGAGGAACAAGGCTTTCTTGGGAAGGACAGATCACAGTTAACAGGCCACCTGTGCTATCTTGCAAGTCATAGCTAACAAACCACCTGCGTTATCTTTAGCTAATGTTTGATCTTGGGAGATCTTGGAGAATGTTTGATCCTGGAGAATGATCTTGGAGAATTATGCACAGAGTAATAATTCCTCAGCTATAGTGTTTTCTTGCTATTACAGACATCATAATCTCATCGATCATTTAGATCTCAATTGTGACTGTTGGCATAGGGAAGTCTGTCTCCATACACCAGCTGAAGGCTCATTTAGCAAGTCACACATAGGCCTGGAAATGACTCATAATTTTAATCAATAGCTGAATTATGAACCAAATCAGTAATATCTAAAGCCTGCTTAGTGCGGTTTCAAGCTGGTCTCCTACACAGAGTGATGTGTCCCAGGGCTCCTGTGGCCTAGAAGGCTGTGCTGGGGCTGAAAAGCCCTGAGAAGCCGAGCCATCAGCCAAGTTCTGACCAGGAGGGAGCAGTGTGGCCACTGACCTCCCAGGGAAGAGAAGGTCTGCCTTCAGTGCTGTGTCCAGTGGTCTCTTGGCATCTGAGGAGAGAGGGCATTTCAGCTGCAAGCTCAAGGTGAGCCCTAGTCCTGCAGCCACATGGGCTGGTGAGTGCCACCTGCACCACCAGGACACTGTCCAGGAGAAAGTCCCCAAGCAAAGGGAGCTGAGTGCAATTCAGGCCTGAGGGTGGGAGGGCTGCAGACCTGAAGCAATGGCTAGGGCAGGCTGGGCTGGCCCTCTGTACCTTAAGAGATCCATTTGGTATCAAGATAGTTATAATTGGAATGTCTGTGTTTAACAAGCAATGAATGGAGGATGGATGAATGGAAACATAGATTAGATTAGATTAGATTAGATTAGATAGTGTTTTAGCTACATTTTTTGTTGCTGAGACAAAATACCGACACCCAAAGTTAAAGGAGGAAAAGTTTATTTAGCTCACAGTTTGTAGAGGTTTCAGTCCATAGTTGGCTGGCCCCAAGCCAGAGTGGCACCTGGCAGAGAGGCACCACAGAGGAGAAAACAATTCCTTGCAGGCAAAGACAGCAAAAGCAACAAGGGACCTTAACAGAGTCTTTCTGTCCCTTTTATCTTATCCAGACTACTTAGGGCTAGTAGAATTCACACCCTTAATCTTGGGCCCTTGAGCCCAGCATTGTACTATGACTCAATCACACACTCTAGATTCAGCCACTTCTGAAAAAGCCCCACCTCCCACTGCATGAGGCTTTGAGGGACTTCTAGACACAAGCCATAACAGATAGATGATAGAAAGAGAAGTCTTAGTACATGTTCTATTGCCACAACAAAATACAACTAAGTGTCTTTCTGAGTCTGATTCATTTCACTTGACATGATAATCTCTAATTTTATCTGTTTCCCTACAGATAACATGATTTCACTCTTCTTTATGGCTGAGTACTACTCTATTGTGTATATGCACCATATTTTCTTTATCCATTCATTTCTTGATGGGCATCTAAGCTGGTTCCTTGTCTTGCCTACTATGAATTGTGCCACAATAAAACTAGGGTATGCAGGTATCCCTATAGTATGCTGACTTTAATTCCTCTGGGTATACACCAAAGAGTGGTGTAGCAGTGTCATATGGTCAGTCTGTTTTTAGTTTTTTGAGGAACCTGCATACTGATTTCCATAATGTCTGTACTAATTTACATCCCCACCAACTGTGTAGAAGGGTTCCTTTTTCCTTGCATCCTCACCGGCATTTATTGTTTTCATGTATTCTTTTTGGTTTTTTCCCCTTACCGG